ACATATAAAGTAAAAATTTATTATAATGACCTCTATGTTTCCTCAAACTTACATTTCATAATTTGTTATATTTTATAATAAAATACGTATGCAGGTTTAATTTATGAGGGAATAAAACGTATCTTGCATGGCTTTTCACGTGTGAGGTCAATGCTATTTTAGCGCAAGATCAAGTAAATGAGATCAAATGTTGTTATGCATCCGTGTATTGAAATTATGCGAATAGAACGACTTTCGCGTGGCCTTCGTTCAGCCATGCCTCTTGCTCCAACACAACAACATACTGCATATAAGTGAATCACTACAATTTATTTAATAACCTTCGATTATATATGTTTTTATCTTAATTATATTATTACCATAAAATGCAATTTGTAACCATAGTTATTTTATGCAATGGTTACTTACGATTTCAAAAACAATTAATCAACTGATTTTGATCATTAAAAATATCATATTTTTAATTGTTAATTTATTGCAGCAATTAAATCGTTATAAAAATCTATGTAATAAATTTTTGTTCTACCACAAAAAATAGATTTTGCGATTTAAGTTTTTAACAAATTTATCAATAACGCATATGCACATATAAGCAAATAATGTGTGGTGCATTTATACATTCAATCTAAAATACTGTTTTACTTTCTACGTGATCCTAAAAAATATTGTAGAAAATACATAATAAATAAATAAAAGTACTAAATTGACATAGAACTTATAACATAAATTTACATAGTCATAATAAAACATTCAAAATTATTAATTGAATCTAATTTTTAACAGTAATGTATATAACATGAATGAATGCATACAAATAATCTAAAATACCATTTTAATTTCTATGTGACAATATAAAATGTTCTAAAAAAATATTATAAAAAATATCACTAATTAAAAATTATCAATTAAATACTATCGATGTAATTTTAATTATACAATAACAAAAATTATACCAATAGGCTCAATTGATAATTTTTAATTACGCTTTAATGTTTTTTATAATATTTTTTAGAATATTTTTTATTATCACGTAGAAATTAAAATGATATTTTAGATTGTTTGTATATGCACATATTATTGTTTGCTTGAACACGCGCGTGCGTCATTAATTTTCTTTTATTAAAACTTTAACATTAAATAGCAAGCTTGATTAATTCATTAATAATTCTCCTATGTGAAAATATCCATTAATATGAAATACGATCATAATATAGAAATATATCAATTGAGATGGATTTTGTGATCAGTTTCGGCCATTTAACGTCGTTTGTATAATTAAATTAACTACGTATGTAGTAAATGCGTATGTAAAAATTAAAAGAGAGAAACATAACGCATCTTGCTCTCAATAACGAAACATGTTACTCGAGTTTCGATATAAAAGAAAAATCGCGCTCGTAGCGTTGTCATCAAAGAGAATGAATTGTGGGTGTGACTCGAATAAAAGCCCGTGTCTTTATGTTAATGTAAGCAGATTAGGAAACAAAAAAAAAATAAAACCAGTCGCGATTGTAATCATTATAATCAACTTGCGATATTCGCGCTATCGCGATTAAATTCGCGTGATGTTTATACGCATATGTAATTCACTGTATAATGGGCAATTTTATAATAATTTTAATCTCGGTGTTGTATTACTTTTTTCGTAACGAATAACAAAAGATATGCGTTTTAAAGAGCAAAGATGTTAATA